GCAGAATCTTTGAGATCTTTCAGCTATGAGAAGATTGAACAGTTAATCAATTCTAAGAATTCAGATACTGATTTCTTTATTATCTTATCTTTATCTCAATTATCTGCAGTTCTTCTGAAACAGCTTCTGATAGATGAGTGATATCATTGACTTGATCATATCAGTGAAAATAGTATATTAAAAATGATCAGAGACTTACAATTTGATATTATTATTATCAGTCTGAAGAAATTATTATTCTGTGTCACATGTGTTAAGTCTAAACAGAAACACACTTTCTATAAGAATTTCACACCATGTCATGTCATCTGCAAGGCCTTGAAGATTTGAGTGAATATATTCAGTGATGATGAGACTCTTGAAACTGAGAATAATATATCATCTTACACTGATAAGAAACTTGCAATGATGATAATAGATAATGCTATCTGTATGAGGTGAATATTTCTATTGAAATACAAGGATGAGACATTGAGATATCTACAGATCTTCAATCAATTCATCAAGAATCTGCTGAGATGTGACATTGCAATCATTCACTCAGATCATGAAGAATTGAATTCAAATACAGCCACAGCATATATACTCAGTAAAGATATAAAATGAAAGCTGACTTTCTCTCATACTTCACAGCAAGATGAAGTATCTGAACAATCAATTAATTTAATTATTGAGAAGTTCTGATTACTATTAATAGACTCTTCAGCTCTGAAAAAGATGTGAGATGAGACAGTTATTACAGTCACAGAGCTGCTTAATCTTATATCAATCTCAACAATATTGTATGAGAGTTCTGAAAATACAAAGTTAATTACATCATATAAGGCCTGACTTGAAGCTCTATTCTCTGCACATGAAATTCACTGATGAGCTTGCAAAGCATTCTTAAAGATAGTCTTCAAGCTCATCAATAAGATGACTTCTCATTTCAAAGAGTTGATTTTTGTGAAATATAATGATTTTATTAATTATAGATTGATGAACCCCTTCAACAGGCATTTATACATATTAAAAGACATCATCTTTCAGAAGAATCTTCATCTTGCTGATTTATTAATATTAACTGCAACACACAATCTGAAGGTTCTACTCAATGCAGTCTGTAAAGCAGCTGTGATAATTTCTTCAGTGACATTAGACCTACTCACTATGATCTGTTAAGAGATTGCAGTGATTTCTAATTCATCAATAGATGATCTATTCATTGATGAGAAAATTCAATCTGAGTGTTCATTATTTCTTATACTCACTAATAATTGATGAATTGACTATGATATCTCTGTGAGAATATCTACCTTTTTAGTACAGAATATACTAAACTTCTCAGAATTCACAGTTGAATCTGATAATTCTCTGACATCTACAAGAAATATCACTATAGTGAGAGAATCAACAGTGAGAGAATCTTCAGTGAGAAACAGTCTTGAAGATCTACTCATCAATTCTGAGATTGCTGTACTTTCAATTCTGAAAAATCTCACACATGTCAAAGCTTTCATGAAATGAAAGTATTATTACAAGGCCTGTGTTAAAGAGATTAATCATTTGAAACAGATAGAAGAAGTCTGATAACTGATTAAGAGAACATCACAAATGAGTGTTCTTCACAGTCAATGAGTATTTGATAAAAAGTTCAATAATATGAGTAATGTTATTCACTATAAGACTCACTGAGTTATCTGTGAAAATCTTTAACAGAAGAGAGTCAATTACTCAAGAATCTTTACATCTGTCATCTCTGCATTTATCTCATGAGCTCTTATAATGATCTCAGCATTCTGAAGATGATATATTCTACAGATTGATATGATAATTACTTTTTTAAATACTCAACTGCCTGCTGATGAATGAATATATATGAATCAATTCACAGAATTCTGCAAAGACTGTGATAATCTTATGTGTGAGTTGATGCAGAGACTCTACAGTCTTAAGCAAGCAGTACTCTTATAGTATGAGAAGCTGTGAAAGATGCTATTACACTCAGACTTTCATATCAGTCTCTATAATACTGAACTATTTATTCATGATGAAAGATAAATCTATATAATTATCTATGTGAATGATGTCTGTCTCTACAGTCTGAAAATCAAAGATCTGAACTGGGTCAAAGCTGAAATCACTGCTAATTATAAGATCAAGAATGTAGAGGATTTCAATCACTATCTAGAAATGAAGATTGATAGAGATTCAACTTCATTAACATTATCTCAATCTCTCTTTATAAGAAATCTTCTGAAGAAGTTCTTAATAAATGACTATCATTCTACATTCACTTCTATGAAGAAGAACATCAATTTTATAAATGATAATGAGAAACTGATTGCATACACAGCAGAATTTACTCTACAGTTCTATCAATTCAGTATCAGATCTCTGTAATATCTGACATTCAATACATGTTCTGATATAAGCTTCATCACAGAATTCCTTGAATGATTCAGCTCTCAGCCTATATCAAAGAACTGAGCTGTATATAAGCACACACTCTGATATCTACAGAGTTCAATCAATGAGAGTATAATCTATCACAGAGGTGCTGAAATTGAACCTATAGTATACACAGATGCTGATTGAGTCAGTAGAGATTCAGAATTCCATTCAACCACCAGTTATATCATCTACATGGCAGGTGGTCCCGTTGCATGGCGGAGCTGCCGGCAAACAGAGGTCTTTAAGTCATCAACAGAGGCCGAATACATTGCATTCTTTGAGATCATATATGAGCTAGTCTGTCTTCAAGAGCTTCTAGAAGATACTAAATTCATCTCATTCTGTCTCAACAATCTGAATGCTGATGATCATCTCATTCTCATCACAGTCAATGATCTGACTTATATAATTCATGCTGATAATAAGTTCATCATAGAGCTATTCTCTTTCAAAGCAATTTCACATTACTCAAAGTATATAGAGATCTGTTTTCACATTCTTCAGAATCTTGTCTGTAAGAATAAGATATCTATCTGATATATTTCATCTGCTGAGAACACAGCAGATGAGCTTACTAAATCACTTGAAACATTGAAATATACATATTGACAGGAGATTATAAAGATGAGGAAATAAGAGAATAAAAAATGATGTATATCATGACTGATTTTTCATTATTTCATGTTTTTCAGTCATTTTTTATATCTGTACTTGATTTGAAGGTGAATTTTATATATAGTATTGTATATAGTTACTCTGATAAGTGAGAATGTCAGGTCATGTGATCTGGCTTACTAATTCTTTTATCATATAACTTTTCACAAGCTAGTAATCTTTCAATTATACAAGCTTTATATCTTTCACATTGTATTCATTACATTAATTTCAAATCATATTATTTTAAATATTAAAGATCTCAGATTCACTTTTCAAATAAAAATCTAGTCTTAGATAAAGAATATATTTAAATTCTTAGTTATATTTTCATTCTGATCTTATTATTGAGAATAGTATTAAATAAGATTATAAAATCATTTCTCACTTACATAATATTATAATATAGTGCTTATTTATTGAAAATTCAATAGAGAGTATTATTAAATATTATTACTTTTCTAAACACAGATTATAATTTATATAATTTTAATTATGAAAAAAATAAAAAATATAAAAAAAATAAAAAATAAAAAATAAAACAAAAATAAGAAAAAATCACAATAAAAAAAGAAAAAAAAAGAAAAAGAAAAAAAAAGAAAAGAAAAAGAAAAAAATAAAAAATAAAAATAAAAAAAAATCAAGATCACAGAGCTGCAGTATTCTTAAAATACTAACTTCTCAGAGTCTTTATAATATTTATTATCAATTATATATTTCTCACAGTGAGAGTAATATGACTGTAATAAGTTATTATCTTAATATTATCTAATAAATAATTAGTATATATCTGTATAAATATGAATAATTAGAAAATATATACTTAAAAAGTGTGATCAGAGTGAACTCTGCTGTTATTTGAATAATATCAAGAGTAAAATACTGAAATCAATGATTCTTCTCATTAATTTCATAAATAAGACATGTGAAGATAATCTTAAGAAATATAAGATTTCTCAACTTCTGATAAAAACAGATCTCACAGAGAGACTCTATTTTCATAATATCAGAGACTGAGTGTTATTAAAAAGCATTACTTTTATACAATATATATACACTTACTGCAGTGATTCACTCTCTGTGTATATAGCTGAGAGTTATAACTTTCTCATACTACATAGCTCTCTCTGAGATGCTGCTGTCAGTTTGTAATTCACACAGTCTCTCAGTTCAGCATGCACTGTATATATACATGTCACACCCCTGGCCGCGCCAAGGCCCCGTTGCGGTTCCACACGGCCCATCGCTTTCATGCGGATGATTCCATCCCTCCCGCAGGCCGACCGAACCGGTTTCCAACCACTCTATTGTGATTCAAAGGTTGCTTAAGCCAGCGTACGATTACAGGCGTACGCCGGCTTCTTATATATTGAATCTCGTACGCTAAATTAATTAGTGGCCGCTAGGGCCTTCTTTACATTTGTACACTAGTAGTTCAGAAGCGGCTGTGTTATTATTTAACAGTTGTACATTCTTCCAAATCACATCCTCTCTCACCAGATTCAGTCACGCCCATGTGATCATGTTGTACACTCTAGCTTCATGCAGATTAGCTTGTCACTAGTGTTTCATGATTATGTGATCTATCTCTGATTCAGCTAGTATTCTACATACATTCTTACAAAGAAACTTTCACTATATTACATCACTCATTCACTAACTTTTCTCATTCTTCAATTATCATCTTCATCATTGTCATCATCAAATATTATCATCTTATTCAAGATTTCTATTTCTTCTTCTATTCAACTCTTTTCATTTATTTATCTATCACATTATATGTGTTTCTGATAATGATCTTCTATTCTCATAATAAATGTTCTTATAGTGCTCATACCAGGCAGTTTGTTAGCAGTAAGTGTAACACATTGTGAAATATGATCAGAACTTGTTTATCTTCTAACAATTATCAGAATATACTATCATGAATAACATATCTTCTTCATCTTCTCATATACTCTCTTCATCTTCTTATATATTCTTGACTGTTTCTCTTCTCAGTGAGTTTCTGATTGTGTTTTCTAGCATAATTTTGCATAAACACAGATGCTGATATATTGTTTTTATTCATGTAGAATCTTCATATGTTGACAGATTCATATTCATTAATAATAGTGAACTCAATGTTGAATCATTGATTGAGAATCTGAAGAACATGATAATAAAGAAATTATTCATATCATATGTGACTGAGTCTTCTATATTTCTTCTTATCTCTTCTGCCACTTCTCAATCTTCTATACTTGCCTCTGTGTCTGGTTCTCTCGCTCTCACTACCTTCATTCTCATGATCTCTACTCTCACTACTTCTGATTTTACTGTCTCTATCTTTCTTACTAGCTCTCTCTGTTTTAAGAAGATGTTGTATAGACTCAGTGAATCATGTTTCTCAGTGTATACACTTCTATTCTTCTTGCTGATTCCTAGAATGATTTATTGTATAAAGATGATGTATGATATGATTATCTGAAATTCAGTCACAGACACTGATTATTACATTCATTTTAAATATTTATAATGAAACAATTATTCATTTATCTCAGAGAATCATTCTCTCTCTCAACAGTGTTAAAATTGTAAGTCTTTTTCTTTTTCATCTTTTCTTTCTGATACTGATTTTTCTGTTCTTAGGAAAAATTGTTATAAGTTTTACTGTGTATGAAGTCATAGCATTCACAGATATCAAGAAGCTTTTCACAACTGTAAAGTTTAATATCATAGAGATATCTGCTCTAATGAATTTCTTTGAGATGATAGATCTGTATCAGTCTATTCTCTGATATCTGTCATCTGACTTCATGATACAGATGAAAGATATCTGTGTTTTCAGAAATAGAAACATGAATGTTGTACTCTTTTACATCTGTGAGTGTGAGACTTGTACACCTTATCTAAGATATCATTGTGAGAATAAGTCATTTGCATACTGTATTCTGCTTTCTGTATTTCTCTGTGTTTCTCTCTCTCTTTCTGAGAAGTCTCATGTGTGTTGTAATTGTGTGTACAATTCTAAGATCAGCAGATGTTCATTCAGTAATTATTATCTCTGTTTTTACAGTTTTGTATACTAATAATAGTTCTTAGTTACTTCAGTGTCAGAGATCATTTTAATCAAAGATGATAACACTGCTGAGATTACTCTCTCTTACTCTTAAGCTTCTCTTATTACTTTTTCTTTCTTCTCTGCAGAAAAGATTGTATATACACTGAATTGTAAGTGTTTAGCTCTGAATGACTTCTGTCATTTGTTCAGTTCTGTGTCTTCTTCTTCTTCTGTTTCTTCTGTCTCTACTCTCTCTGCTCTGACTTCTGATTCTATAAGTTCTGCACTCTTCTTCAATTTCTCTATACATATATATGTGCATTTCTATATTGGCATTCCAGTCAATCTTGTGATAAATGACATTAATGTTATACACAGAGTGATAGAGAAATCAGAGATATGTATGATGTTATTGTAAGAGTAGCTTGTGACTCTCAAATTTCTTATAGATCTCAAGTTTTGAGATTTTCTTTGTTTTTGATGTTTTTCAGATGATATTGAAAATAGATTAAATATGTGATGTATGAAAATGAATGAGATGTGTATGATAACATTTATCTTTTACAGCTGACTCTTACAGTTAATGATCAATCTATTATTTCTTTTCTCTTCTTACACTTTTTCTTTATCTGCTAGTCACTACTCTTACATGATCTCTATATAGTACAGTGTTCAGTGACTAGGTTTGACAGCTTTCATCTTTTATAATTCTGTCTCACACATTATACTGTTCCTCTTCACCCGCTCAGATCACTACAGTGAATAGCTCATTGAAACTAATCTTATCTAATCTCTGAGTATTCTCAGAGATTGAGATGACTTGGTCTCATGTATCTGTGAATGTTTCAGATAGTTTATTCTCTGTGATCTCTGCAATTGAACTGATGTAAACAGTTAAATTCAACTCTGAATTTCTTTTTCTTCTGCAATCTGACTTATATACAAGTCTGCTGCTTTGAGATTACTCTTTGCTGTGTTATGTCTGCTGTCTATGATGTATTATTATATGATTAGCTACAGTCTCATAATTTATTGAAGTGTGATGTTTATCTGATTTCTTCATTTCTTCTCATTCTTTTCTTATAATTGTGAAAAGATTGGAATAAGTGAGATCATCTGATTTGTAAGTGTCTATGATTTCTCTTACTTCACAAGGCTTTTCAATTATAAGTCTCTTCTTTTTCAACACTGATGATAGTGCTGTAAATAATCATAATCTGCTCAGATCTTACATCTTTGCTTTCACAAGTTATGAATCATTTATTAAGTTGTGTAAGACTTGTTTCTCTGATTCTTTCAATGTATACATTCTCAGAGAATGTGATTTAAGTATCTTATATAGCTCAAATCACCTAGATTGAAACTTCTCAGAACTCTCATTATGTACAATAACTCATGTTCTCATCTTGAGACTTGATTTCTTAACAAGTGAGTCTTGTATTCTTTTCAATTGAATTGCTCAGTTCAGAAGTAACTCATTAGCTTTTGTATGTGCATGACTAATCTCTTTCAATCTTGATTTCACATCTGTGACTGTTGTGTCTGCAACTGCTACTACTGTGTTTGTAACTGCTGTTTCTGCTGTGTCTGTAACTGCTCTCTCTCTCATCTTTTTCAAAGCATTCTCTGAAATGTGCGGATGCAATTCATACAACAGGTAGAATGATGAATGCTTAAAGACTGCATACTGCTGAATTTGTGTGACTAATAGCATCTATCTGAGATATTCATCTCATAGTCTCATAGGCTTGCTCACTAGATATTTTATCAGCATGTTGCTCAAGATTTCATTCAAGTGTTTCATCTTCCTGTTCATCTGCAGATGATATGATGTTGTTCTACAATGTCTTATCTGTAACTGACTCATAAAATGCCTCATCACTTCTTCTATAAGGTTCACACTGTTATCAGTTAGAATCTCGTGCAGTATTTCATAGTTGATATAGATCTTATCATGTAGAAACTTTGTTATCATCTTCTCTGTTCTCTCTGAAACTGCTTTCACAACTGACCAGTCAGTAGCATAATCAATAGCAGTGATTATTCATTGATTTTCATTTGATGTTTGCAGTAATATGTCTATGAGATTCATCTCTTATTATTTAAATGATTGTATTATACACTTCATCTGATGTTATGCTTCTTTGCATTCTAATTCTTTCTTAGATTCTTTCATGACCTGGTAATTCAGACACTTGTGAGCATACATCTGAATGTTCTTAGTCATGCTTGGCCAGTATACTCTTGATTCAAGTATATTTATGAGTTCAGAACTTTCTAAGTGACTGAATTCCTTGTGTATATAAGTCACTAAGTTGTGTCTAAATAAAGGTTCTAGATAGGGAGCTTCTGTGTATTCTAGATCACAGTAAAGTACAATATCATTTTTCAATTTTCTCAGCTTGAAGTTTGAAAGCATCTCTTTTACTACTTTCATGAGACACTTGTCATCTGACATCTTGTCATTCTCTAAGTGAGAGATCATGATATTCACTCATTCTGATTTCTTGTATTCTCTCAGCATGTTTAACACAAATGTCTCTTATACCTGATTTGCAGAACTCTCATTCATGAAATTGAGTCTGTAACTGATTGTATCTGACATCACTACATTCAATCTCTTCTGATATTTGATATGAAGATTGTATGCTTGAAACTCTGAGATTCAATATACTAAGTATTTGAAAGGTTTTATTATTGATTGTAGATAGATGAGACTTTTGTAATCTGTGATCACTGTTATTATATGCCTGTTATTGATATATCTATCTCACAATACTAGTATGTGCTTGATTACTAGTAATTTCTTTTTATACACTGAATAATTAAGCTCAGTATCTGATAGTTTTCTATCATCATATATCACTGAGTACAGCTTGCTATTCTTACTCATCTGTAGAAGAGTATCTCTGATAGCTCATTCAGATGCATCTGTCTTAATATAGAAAGGTTTATCACAATCTGATTGAATAAGCACTGAGAATGTTATTATATGTTCTCTCAGTGTAAGAAAAGCCTCTTTGCATATAGTATTTCAGATGATTGAATGAAACTTCTTCTTTCACAGATTTGCATCTATTTCTCTTAAGAGATCTGAGAGTGATGCAGATATTCATGTGAAATTCTTGATAAACCTGTGATAGTATGAGATCAACTCAAGAAACTGTTGTATATAATGTACATTTCTCAGCTACAGTCAATTCACTATAACATTCAATTTCTTCAGAATGAGATGTATACAGTCATCACTCACTACATATCTTATAAACTCTAACTCTTTCATTTCAAACACACACTTGATTGATTTGATATAGAGCTTATACTCTGTCAGAGTTATAAGCACTTCATTGAGATGCTTCAGATGTTCATTGTATGAGTTTGAAAAGACTAGAATGTTATCAAGATATATAAGATATGAGGTTTCATTTTGTTTATAAAGAATCATATTCATCATCATTTGAAAGATGATGAGCACATTTATCAGACTGAATAGCATTGCTAGAAATTTGAACTTCTCTCATTATGTATTAAACACAGTTCATGAGACTGACAGTTTGTCTATGCAGATCTGTCAGTATTCTGAGAGAAGATTGATCTTTGATAGATATCAGATGTTTTCAACTGTATTCAACTGTTATTGAATTCATGACAGTGAATATTCATTCTTGATTGTAAGCTTGTTGAGTGTTTAATAATTGATACATATTCATCACTCTTCATCTGTCTTTTTCACAAATAGAACTGGAAAGCCTCACGCGCTTGATGAGAATTGTATGAGATCACATTCTAGAAGGTCTGTGATCTGACACTTCTGTTCTTCAAGGTGTGTTTGTGACAGAGAGTACACATTCTGATTGACTGGTTTTGTGTCCCTCATATCAATCTCATGTATAAATCCTCATTTCAGCAGCAATTTCAGTGAAAGATCTGTTCAGAAGATCTTTTCATACTTCTTCAGAAGCTTCTTCATATGCTTATTCTTCTGTATATTCTTTATCTTGATTTTCTCTGCTTTCAGGTTCTGTATGATATACAGAATACTTTCAGATAAGATCTTATAAATCATTCTCTTTGCTTGTTAATGTGTAAGCAGATTTAATTGTTCTATATCAGAGATATGAAATGTTCTTCTCATATCAGTTAGTAGAATTATATGAATCATTTTCTTTCTATCAGTCAACTGCATATGACATGTACATCATTGAATCTGCAGATTGAACCTTTGAAATCAATTGAGTCTGAGAATAAGGTCATATTTCACATTCTGCAGCTCTCACACTCAAATATAGCAAGATCATTCTTCAAAGTACAAGAGAACTCTTACTTTTACAGGTGATATCAGATATTAGTTATCAGATAATCTTATATATTGAGAATTCTTCACTCAGTGAACTTCTTTCAATCTTCAGATTATATAATCACTAATATATTATATAGAAGCTTCTGTGTTCACTAACACTTTTGCAGCCATCTCTCAATTCTTATTCAAGTGCTCTCTATACATTAACATTTCAGGTCTCAAGGCATTGAGATGAGT